TTTCCAGTGGAAAGGCCAAATTCCTGTATGGTGGTTCTCAGGGGCTGCATTCCGAGTGTGAGTAGGGCTAAAGGTGGAAAGGCATAGCCAGAACCAGAGTGGGTGGCACCACCCTGTGATCCCTTCTGACTTCAAGCCCACTGCTAAGTCAACAGAACAAGTCTTGCCTCCACTGCTCAGAAATGAGCATGAATGGATTGCATAGCAGCTGCACATTGGAGAAAAGTGTGTGTGAGTGCACATGTGCGTGTGCTGGAAGAGGGTGTCAGGCCTGGGAAGGAAGCCAACGTTTGTGGAAGAGCACCTGTGGGCCAGAGAGTCCCTGTGTCTGTTGTACACCATTTACAAAGCATATAAACACTGACCAGCAGAGAGGCAATTCTAAATTGGATTAAAAGTAAATCAGGTTTTTGCTCCTCTTGTGCATTTTTAATATGGATGCAATCACACCATTCTGATCCTTATCTCTATTCTGGAATGTTTGCAAGAGACCAAGTGAATTGCTCCCACACTCTCCTGGGAAGAGCATGCCAGGACGAATTTCACACCCTTAGATGGCGAGGCAAAGTGCCAAGTATGCAAACATAAAGAGACACTTTGGTATGCCCGTATTCAGTTCTATTGTACTTAAGGCTTTTCTGCCTTTACCCACATAATTTCCAGAGCAATCATCATAAGACTGCAAACACAATCATCAGTCATCGTGGTTGGTTGTCTTGCAAAGCAAACGGAGAATGGAATCTACCAGTGGTTTGAAAACTGTACCTGGTGACTTAGGAAGCTTTGAAGGCAGTCAATATTAACTTTCCCTAAATATACACAGCAAAATATGTGTCAACATGAGGCCCTTTTAATCTCTATATCTGAGTGGATGGAATGTCAGTGTCAACACATACAGGAATTTACCAGCAAACTCCTAAACATCCAAAATAAATTAAGGGGGAAGAGGGGGGGGGAAGCCCCAGTCAAGTTGTTTGTATTTCTATTTTTGCTTCTCCACAGGACAGGTTAGCCAGTTCTAGTTCCGTCTGTATGAAGCTGTGGTAGACAGAAGCAGAGCACACCTCTCCTGTCTGAATCAGAGGACCTCCATCTCTACTCCAAACTTGTCTTTATGGGGATGGGGGAAGGTGGAATGGGATTCCGTAACCAAAACGCTTCCGTCACCACCTTCCCTCACCCAGGCATGATGTGCATTAAGCAGATTGAAATTATATTGGGAGGCAAAGCAAAGCAAATTAATCCAGCTCAAATTTGCTTGCAAAAGTGTAGATCCATAATGTTCTAAATCCACTGTTCTGAGGCTGATGCTGGACTTTTTTTCTGCAACATTCTAAGTTCAGGGTGTTTGATTCTGTACCACACAAAGAGAAACACAGACACACAGATGTTTTAAAGGATAAAGCATGGTATAGAAAATGACAAGTTGGTAACCTGTTACTTCCTTAAAATGCATCATCCTTGAGGTACCTTGAAAATGTAACTGCATGATGAAAACCACCTGTGAGCATTTCTGCAAGCCTGCAGGTCCATGCGCTTGCAAACTATAACAACGTGGGAGAGCTTTGAGACTTCATCAGTGTCCAACTTCTATTTCTATTATTTTTCCCAACTTCTTTTATACTTGATCCCAGGAATCAAACCCATTGAACAAAACACATTTGAAAGTTGCAACCTAGAATAATAACTATCTACCATAGAACCTCATTCTATTTTTGATCATGCAAAAGAAAGTTAAGTTGGGTGCTAACTTTGATAACATCTCTTGCTTAGATCTGAAAATGTTGGGAGTAAATAACTTAATGTTGAGGTTTAAGATAACAAGGGATCATGATTAACTCAGAAAATTGCAATATGTTGAAATGCCTCTATTAGCTTGAAGCTGTTTTTGGAGGATAGCAAATTATCATATAATTAGATATGCATTCTGATTGTTCAGATTGCCAGCTCCAGCAGTGCTTAGACAGTTCTTTGAAGTTCTTCAGTTATATACAAGGAGAAACCTGAGCTGTTTTGGCATTTTAGCCACAAATAGCATGGTAAAGCATGCTGATGCTTTTCAAATAACTCTTTCTTGAATTACATCATGTGAGTTTTCTATGAAAAGATGATAGCTTCACTATTTTGCCAGTCACAGAATTTTTTGTTCTCTGACTGACAGAAGTATACCATAGCTAGGAAACTAATCAATCATATATGGATAAATATAAAAGAAATGTTTTGCAAAATGTGTAAGGGGATCTGTTCTCTCTCTTTCCCTCTTACTCTCCCTTTAACTGCTTTTAAACTAAAAACATAAGAGCTACACTGGATCAGACCAATGGTTCATCTCATCCAGCATTCTGTCCCTGCTGTGGCCAACCAGATGCTGATGGGCAAGCCACAAGGGGGACACCAATGCAAAAACACCCTCCCTCACACCCAGAGAGTGGTCTGCACATGCACACAGTCTCTGATGCTGGAGGTTGCATAGAGTCATCAGGACAAGTAGCCGTGGAGAGCCTTCTCCTTCATGTCCAATTGCCTTTTAACCCATCCACATTGGGAGCCATCACTGCATCTCTTGGTAGTGAATGCCATTGTTTATTCCCTGTATGAAATGCTTCCTTTTATCTGTTCTGAATCTTCTGCCAGTCAGTTCATGCAATGATCCTGATTTATGAGAGAAGGGGAAACGTTCTAGCCACTTTCTCTACAGATTCAGGGAAGGAGCTGTAGCTCAGCAGAGCACCTGCTTTGACTACAGAAGATCCCAGCTTTGATCTCTGGCAGACCCAGGTAGAGCTGGAAAGATTTCTTCCAGAGACCCCAGAGAGCTGTTGCAAGTCAGTGTCAGTGTCGTTGAATTGGCTGTTTTAGTGGGGTTTTTTTATCATGATATGCTCTCTGATTTTTCACTTTGTCGACCATCCAGAGAGCCTTTGGGCTATTGGACGGTATAAAAATGAAATAACCTAACATTACATGACATAAAAGTTCTTTAACCAAGGAAAAGAAGGATTCACATTGCACCTTCCCCAGTACCAGCAGGCTCAGGGGGAAAGTGCAAAATGAGCACTAGCGAGGGAAGGGGCGGCTGTGAGGATCTTGTGGCAAGGATGGTATAAAACCCCACTCACTTTCCACATGCAAAGATCTCTTGCACCTTTGGGTTCTCTTGACATCTTATCTTTCGGCAGCTGTTTGGCAGAGAAACCAAATGGGCAAAATAACAATTTGGAGCCTCTTACAGGCAGTGTCTAATGTCTGCACTTTGGCATCATCCCAGCCCCACACACGTGCAACTGTGAAAATTTGCAATTGCTAAGCACTGCTGGGTTTTTTGAAGTGCTTTTTAGTGCATTTTTAAAAAGAAGTTCTGACAACCATGGACAGCCTAAGGGACTGCTGAGATCCTTTGAAAGAGCTCTTAGTGGCTGTCAAAACAGGGACTGAAAAAGCTAGCTGTCAAGCCCCTTTTACAATCTCCAAGGCAGAAAAAACTGGGGGAAGGGGGGAAGCTACACTGAGCTTGTGATTACCATGTGGAGCAGGGAGTGTATTTTGGGATACCCTGTGGGTGGACTAAGGTGGGAAGGAGTTGGAGAGAGAGGGGGCAACAATTCAATCATTCATTGGGCTCATTGTGGGTTGATTGCACACCAAACAACCCTTGGTGGCTTAGAGCCAGAGTGGGTTAACATGAGGTGCGAACGCACTTATTGTAAATATAAGCGATCAATGTAATTTTCTTCTTTCACTCACCAAAGCAAATTGCCCTACAGGGTTACATCAACAGAAACATTCAGACAAAACAGTTATCTACTCTCAAGGATTGAATGCGGGTTGTTGTTGAAACTTAGATTATTGTGTTATCTGAACCCAGCCAAGGTGACAAACCATGATGAACAACCCATAGTTTACAGCTGAACAACACATCAATCGTTTTCCTGATGTGTTGTTCCCGGCTGGATTCAGGCAACATCATAATCTACATTTCAGAAACAACCATATTCAATGACAATTCGCAGAATTCATGCTCAGCCCCTGGGGGTGAGTTATTGTGTTGTCTGAAGCAATCAGTGTATGCAAGTCCCGAGAAATAGAGAAATAGCAACAGAAAGCCTTACTCTATACGTGAGACTTTATGTGGTTTTAATGTTGGCATTGTAAGGAGAATGGCAACAGAGTGAATAAAAGGCACAGCACATCATTTGTCTGTCAAGATAATGAGGATTTGTAGGCATGACATGAGGAATGGTTTCCCAAGGCCTTCTAAGTAAGGCTTGGTCATTGTGCCCCCTTTGAGTGGCAGAATAAAGCTATGAAGACTTGAACTTCCTCCCTCCTATTGTTCTTGTTTGCCAATCCATAGTTTGCTTTGCACTGATCCATTCAATATAAAATGCAAACATAGTTTTGATTCTTTGCTGACCTTTTCATCAGCAATGGAGCAGCCCATTATGAGAAGGTCATGTGTGTGCTTTACTATTACCAAAACAGAGAACTGTTTGTCAAGAAAACTGACATCCTATACATGCCTACTTAGAAGTAAGCACAGTTGTCTTCAGTGAGGCTTACTCTCAGGTAAACAAAAATCCAGCCTTAATCATGTATGAAGCTGGGATGTGATTTCAGTGGTCAAGAGGTACCTTTCATTTTGCAAGGCTGGGGTTGGGACCTAGAGAACCATAATTTATAGCATGATCCTATAGGAATGTCATGAGTAAAGCTGGCTGGAGCTAGGGTCAGACTAGATGGTCCGGGAGACCCCTTCTGACTCTCTCTGTTTCTATGTTTCTATACATTTTGACTCAGAAGTCCCATTGGGTAAGTATGATATGGAGTGCAACTTTAAATGCCTGTGAAGGCCAGTAAATCTCATGGCTACTATCCTATGATAAATACTTTAAATTAACAAATGTCATGCACAAAACCTCTCTTGGCCTCAGCAAGAAAGGACTTCATGAAGCCCATGGGTAAATTTCCATAATACGTTTTCCCTTTTCTTCTGTTTACAGCATCCAGTGTCCTTGCTATGTCGCATTAACGGGGTGTCTGACGTGTGCTTTAATGGCCTTCATCATGATTCCTGCCCAGACAAAGGCACCGTTGAAAGGAAACACTCCCCAACAGAGTTGAGTGCTCCCCATTGCCAGCCTTTCAGGGGGACTGGAGGACTTGAAAGGGTGAACAAAAAGAAATTTGGGTTGTGGGCCAAATGGGAAGGACCCTTCCAGCATTAGTTGTTCCAGTATGTATTTCCTTTTCAAGTTGATCCTGCATTTGGGTAGTAGACTAGGACTTAATCAGTGGGGCTTTGGTTGAGTACAGTCCAGTGCCAGCTCCAGGTTGGTGAAGGCTCTTGGGGACAACACTGTCACTGGGCTCCCCTCTCCCAGTTAGCTTGTCTCCCATTGCCACCAGCTGCACTGACCCCTCATCTCCTTTCTCATCATTGCTACCACTCGCTTGGCCCTGACAGGTAGCACAAGTAGGCCTTGCAGTGTGTTAGTAGGCCGTGGCATCTGCCACTTCTCCCAGCACTGCCATGGTGTGGGCAGGAACAAGGGGCAGGTGAGCAAGCCAGCTGGAAATGGTGAAGAGGAGGCTTTTGGCAGGGGGCTCTTGGCAGTGTCCCTGCTGGTGGACAGGCTCGCAGAAGGAGCTCAGCCGTTAACACGGATCTACTGCCGTGGAACTGAGGCGAATCAACCTCAGGGAGCCCTGCCTACCCATTATAACAAGACCCAGAGTGACTCCACTCTTTATCAGGCCAAGTCAGCAGTCTCAGTGCTCACCGAAAATTTTCAAGCTACGCTGACTTACTCCTCAGGTGAACTATTGCAGCAAGAATTTTCTCAGTGACGGCAGGGCGTTCGTGCCACTTGTTCCAGCTTCAGAAAGTAAAGGATAAAGAACATCCAGAGTTGGTTGAGTTAAACCAACGCCTCAAGTTAAGAGCTCAGGTTACTGAGGCACATTCTGGGGAAAGAAAGAATGCAAGGGCTCCCTTGGGAAGCCTAAAGAGCAAACAGTCCATCATGTCTAGCCCACTACTGGCTCTTCGGAGTATCTCCCAGACACTGAAATCGAGGAAGTTACACTCTGCTGTGGCAAAGCCCTAAGCGAATCCTTGACAAAAGCAAATGGGAAGGTTAAAGTTCTCACAGAAAATCCTAAAGCAGTGGTACCAACATGCAGAGTAGGAGGTAACATCAAGCCACCTGATGTCTTAGTGAGTTTTGCTTTTTGGCTCCAATCTACTAAATGGGAGAGACGATGCACAGCATAGCACTAGAGAAGCCAGCAGGAATGTGGGCCCACATGCCTGCCTGCCACATGGGCTCCCGTCCAGAACTCCCATAAAATGCCACAGCTTGTTCCTTTTCCATACCCGTGTGTGGGCTGGCAGCTACTTATGTCCTAAAATTAACAGCCACCCTCTTTGTTGTTATGTGAAATTTGGGCATGACCCCCCACCCCTGGAATTTGAAATCTGGCTTGTAGACTTGGATATAGCACAATGGAAGGGACATAAGTAAGGAAGAATGGAAGATAAAGATTCTCTCAGAAGTTATGTAGAGAGGAAGAGGGGGGAGGGGAGCAGATGCATTCCAGGGATCCCTGCTAACTGTTCAGTGTTTGTCGGTCCCTCCCCTTCCCCCTCCCCACAAGAATTCACATTCTCTTGAGCTTGGAATATTTGGAAGCTAAATCAGCAAGCATTCGGGAATGGAGATGGAAGCTGGGAGTGGGGGATTTCAGAGCACAACTATATTTATGTATTCAGACATTCATATATGCCCTGCCTTTTCATTTAAAATGTTCTAGACCACTTTCAACAGCAAAAAGGAAGTGCATAATAATAGCAATACTTCACTAAAAAGCCGATATTTCATAATTTAGACATCACTTGGAAGTTAGCCATACTGAACGCATCAGGGCCAAACTGCTGCTGCTGCTGCTGTTTCACAATGGATTTATATCCCACCTTTTTTCATCTTGTGAGGAACCTAAGGCAGCTTCCATAGCTCCATTTTATCCTCACAACAACCCTGTGAGGTAGATTGGGCTTGAGTGTCTGTGACTGGCCCAGAATCACCCAGTGAGCTTCAAGTGGGTCCAGAACCTAGATCTCCTGGGTCCCCAGTGCAGCACTCTCACCACCCCACCACACTGGCTATGCTCCTTCCCAACATTAATTATAGGCGTGGGGGGATTGTGGGGGGATTGCAGCAGAAAAGAAGGGAAGGCTTTCTGCTTCATGCTACCAAGCAGGTGCTGTGGAACAATTCCATCTTTTTCTGTAGTGAGGGAAAAGGTGGAAGGAATGAATAGAACGGAGCAGGCAAATGGCACGATCAAAGCCTCCCCTGGAAGCAGCATGAGTGCACTTGCACAGGATTGTGCCATTGGGCGTATACGCATCCTGCACATGTATTGCGGAGTTACTAAGTCCTGTGCCATATTCTGTGCACTCTTCTCCTTGCTTCAGAGTGAGAGGGAAACCTCTTCAGGAAAGAAGAGAGCAAAATCCAGCCCTGTAGAAAAAGAATTCTAGTTAGAGAATGTTTTACTCTATTTTTACTTTCAGGAGCCCATGCAAGACTTCAGAATGTAACTAATCTCCTGTCTATTTTTCTAGGCTTGTCCCAGTCCAGCAGTGTATTTAGTTTCAAAGAAATCATTCGCTTAATGAAACTTCCGGGAGTTATGGATATTTTTCTAATCAAGGTCCTTTCTTTACTTCCTACAGGTGAGTGCTGTGACATTTTAAAAGATAAGATCTCCAGGCAGATACAATTGTTTTTCATTGGTTGCTGGAGGCTGTTGAGTTTCCGGCTCAGGGAGAATGTATTTATTTAGCTGCCAATGCTATATGCCTAGTGTTGCACTCTTTGATGCAGTTCATGGCCAGATCATCTAAATACCCAGGTCAAGATGCAGCCACTTTGGGAATGTCCAAAGCTACCTCCAGAATTACAGTTTGGGCTTTTCAGCCTCCACCCTCATGGGCATTACCTACCCATATACCATTCCTGTGTGAATGTAGAGCCAGCCTACAGGGAAAAGACCTGGGGAATCCTAAGCATAGTAATTTCTGTTTTAACCCCCTCCCTTCTTACTTCTTCAAGCTGCAGTCCTTAAAGCATTTACTAGCCAGTAAGCCCCGTTGAATTCAATGGAACTTGCATCTGAATAGGATTATGCTGTCAAGCACTACCCTTCTTCTGAACGTGCCTATCCCCACTGCAAGTGCTGATCCATCCTGCTGAGACTGGATGAGATGACAGCCTGAAGTAATTTGGCTGTGATCCACTCATTCATACCTCAGTGCTGGAGGAGGGATAATCTTCCAATAAATGTTCTCATGCGTTCTCATCTCACTGCTCCACACATATCATTATTTTTAGTAATGGGCACATCTGCGGAGACCAAATTAAGTGTGTCGCCTTTATTTATATTCTAAGAAAGGATGCACTGTAAACACAGACACAGACCTCTCTCGCTGGTGACATCCTTTCTAACTCATATTAGAAAGCATGAACCTGCTGAACACAAAAGGTTGCAGTCTGGTGCACAGTGGCCTTGGTGGAAGTTGCTTCAGAGGAAATGTGAATCAGCACTGTCCACACATGACTTGTGTGACCTTCTCCGGTGCCATAGGCAGGGTTTGAAAGTGGTGACTTCTTAAATCCACAGGTTAGCTGCGCAAGAAGATAAGTAGGATTTATTTTTCTGCATGTTCAAGGTATATGCAGACAGTGAGAAAAATGGGGGGCTTCAAATGGATTTGGAGGAAATAGAGCAAGGGTAAGTGACATGTGCCTATGTGCACCGATGCCCCCCCACCAACACTTTCCTTTGAGCTCTCCAAGCTGCCCAACCTCTTCTTCCTTTTAAACACAAATGGACAGTTTCCTATTGGCAGCTCTGAAATAGGCATCTATTGGGGTTGAAAACTAAGAGTCCAAAGGAATTATTTAGTGTTTGGAGATTCAGACTCCACCTCTGCCTTGCTTAGTCTTTGGGCAACTTACTTATCTTGGTCCATGCCACCCATTGCTGCCATATTGCGCTTGTGCCCCAGACAGTTTTTCAAATGACCAGGTGTCTTATCCACAAGTGTACAATTTCCCCAATAAATCAAAAAGTGAAAATGCATAATATTCAAAATGCACATTTGTTAATTTTTAATAAACGTTTGAATGTGAACACATGCTCTTGAATTTGTGAGCATTTCCAGAGAATGTCACGTCTTCCTCACGTGTGTCTTTAGGGCTTGCAAATGCAGCATGTTCACAGCGGAAGGTGTGTTTGTACGGGGAAGCCCCAGGCTCATTTCTTGGTGCCTCTAGTCAGTGGGCTGGGAAAGGTGTCAGCATGGGAAATGAATGGACGGAGTGATTTTTATATTATGGTCAAAGATCAATTAGAGTTGTGATACTGACAAACAAATGCAGTAAAATAAAACAGGCTTTTTCAGGTCCAGCCAATTTTTTCCTATTTTGCATGGCAATTTAAAAAAGAAGTTTGTGACTTTCCCAGTGGTATAGGATAAATCATCTCTTAAACAGAACATAAGCATATCTTCAGATGATCATCCCAGGAGAGTTCCTAGCACGGGAGAATCAGCCTCTCTCTGCAGTCCCCGTACAAGTTACAGTACAGAAGGACAAGATCAACAAACTCTATTACGCTGGTTCTGTCCAGTCACAGCTATTTGTTAATACGGATCTTGTTAAATCCACCACTTAATGGTTACAGAGGGGAACGCATGGAAGTGAGCAAATATAAACATTCTCCTGTATTTGAGAACAATCGCTCTGTGCAGGTACAAAGTTCTAACAATTCCATATTTTAGATTACTTAAGAATAAGGGGGAACAAGACTTGTTGCCCAACACATTTAACGACAACAACAAAAAGATACCTGGTTCACCTAAGAAAATTTATCTTTTTTAATCTTAGGTGTGTTCCTGATCATGTTTGCTATCATCTCCATTGATTTCTTTGGTTTGGAGGCAGCACAGGCTGGATACCTGATGTCTTACTGCGGAATCCTTCAAATGGTAAGCAGATAAACAGTTCTGTAGGGCTGTGGCCAATAGTCTCTTCCCAGTTTTATTTACATTTAAGAGAAGTACCAGGCAGGGATACCCCTTTTCTCCTTTATATTTAATTTATATTTGGAACCTCTGGCCTGTGCCATTACACAGAATAGGAGTATTTACATTGCACAGAATAGAAGCATTTTCTGCATGAGTGTTTAGAATTTAAAATTATTCTTTATATTCATGATCTTTTTATTATCTGTCTTGGAATTCCAGCTCTCATGCATTTGATTAATGCTTTTAATTTGTCTGGCTATTCAATTAATTGATCAAAATCAGAACTGATATCACTTGGAAATACTATATGTAATAGTGTATTAGCTGATTAGCCATTTCACATTGTCTGGTATTACCCATTTGAGTATACTTATTTCCAAAGGCATATCTCAAATGATCTGAATAAATTGATTAACAAGATCTTTTGGGATTTAGATATATAGATATTTTAAAAACTGAATTTGTGGAGCACGGTAAATACACTAAAGGTGAATACTACATCCTGAATTGATTGTGTTTTATGTGGGATTCCTCTGTCTATACCTGGCCAAAATAATGATGATGACAACAACGACAACAACGACAAATCAATGCTTTGTTTTATAAATTTTTGGAGGCTTTTCTCTGCCAGATTATCTTTGAAAAGGATGCAGCTTACAATTAAAGGACATGTGTTTGATTTTTCTGGCTCTTGATTTAAATCATCAGGTTTATTTGCTGACTTATATTGGTCTTTTCCACACTGGAAAGTTTTGAAATCTTGTCTGGCATCTCTTTCTAAATCATAGAATAATGGAAGGAGCCTGAAGGTCAGCAGTCCAACCTCAATTGATGACAATAGGTTTTAGGCATATTAAAATGGATAGAGCTGCTCCCACAGTTACAGCTCTATGTGGAATATAAGGTCACATCAACTACATTTTGAATCACTTGCTCATGCGATGGTAAAATTCAGATTTTAAAATTGCTAAGGTCTTCATTTTATGTTGTTATTTTTGTAGTGGGCATGGATGGATAGGGCAATTTTTACCCTGTATGGATCCACTTATGTGTTCTGATAATTAGTGTTTGTGATTGTCTATTTCGTGGGTGAAGTAGGATTTATTAGCTAGGGCTGAATGGCAAGACCTGAAGTGGCAAAAACTTTGCTCTGCTGTTTTTACAACTTCAGCATCTCCCTTGCTTTTGAAAGCATCGATTGAGGCAAATCAGCCTATAAGCCATGTGTATAAATACTTATCGTTGAATAAATAAGCAAGATCATAAGCAAAGCATGGATGGAATAAGGAACTGGTTTGTCTCATTTCACTAACCTATGGGTCACCAATCTTGGTATCTTGATTCAAGATGTCTATGAATCTCAGGTTGGAACTTATTCAGCAAGTGCCCCTTTAAGAAATAGTTGCTTCTGTTTAAAATGAGGAAGTAATGCAGATAATCTTTGTGTTGGAACACTGCTAAATACTTACTGGCTTACCTGCTATTTTAAACTATCTGCCTCCTTCCTGGAAGTCAATGCATTGTCAAAATAATGCATGGATTCCCCATGTCCTTCAGATAGCTAAAAGACCATTACAAAATTGGGAGGATAATAACTCATCTCCTGTAATGGAACTGAAGGCTGTATAATGCTTTCAGCCTGCAAATACATACTTATTTGACTATTTGATCTGTTTCTATTGAAATTTGTGCATAGTTCTTAGAATCCTGTATTTTCACATGTATGTGTGCATATCATATATATGCATTACAATCAATGTATTTAAATTTTTGTAGTGACTTTCTTTCTTTTTCTTTTGTTCGCTTTCTTCTTCTGTTGGAATTTTATAAGAAGAAGTCATTTAAAAAAATTAATGCAAATCCGCGCTTCTCACCATAGTGGGGAAAGACTGACCAGGTTTCTGTGTAGCAGCTCAGCCTGCTCTCCAGGTGAAAACTGTTCATGGGCAACTTCAAGGTCATCCTCTTTGTTCTGAAACCAGACCTGGACAGAACCGTCTTCTGACATCCCTTCCAATATAGTACATTTTCAAATAGAGGACTATCCTGTGTAAAGTAGGACACACCACCACCATATAAAAAAACTTTGTTAGTAAGAATTCAGAACTCTGTGCAACCAGAGCCTGCTATGCCAGGGGAAGCTTTGGAATTGTGTTTTTCCAGCACTGGGGTCTCTCATGGCATATGGCAAAAGTAGCTTTAAGAGTAAAAGGAGTTTCAAACACAGCTTTTGATACATCATGGGTGTTTGCTGTTCAAACAAAAAAGGTCAAAGATCATGCTGTGCACATACAGATGCCTGGATGGCCCTAAAATATAGCTGTTTTGACCTCCCACCCATGTCTTTGGGATTTGATGATGAGGATTTTTAAAAAGACTTTAAAAAAATACTGGTTTATTGTGAAACTTTTGACTTTAGCTCACTATACATATGGCTTAACAAAAACAAAAAGTCCTTAATATTTGCAGATAGGTCTTTAGGATAAGTCTGTATGTGAAACAGTCCCAAGATATCTGATGCAGACTATAATAAGAGTAATTTCTTGGTTCCGCTGAATTAATTCCTATGATACTATCTTTTTGGCTTATGAGCTTAAAGCTCAAATTTGCTTCTGTTACACTGTACTGAAAATTATCATATTTAAAAATTGTGAAGGCTAAAGTGCCAGTGAATTTCATTTATGTGTAATTGGTTGAGTACTAATTAATAGACATTCATTGTGAGATTCTCTCTCTCTCTCTCTCTCTCTCTCTCTCTCTCTCTCTCTCTCTCTCTCACACACACACACACACACACACACACACACGTGCGCATGGACTCATTTTGCTATATAAAAGGATTGTAACATTTTCAGTGGTTCCCATCTCTGAATGCTGATGCCTTTTATTTTGCTGTGCAGCAAGTTCTTTGTAGCCACTTTGTTTGGATTTTAAAATGTAGGCTTTCTAAGACAAACCTCTTTTTCCTCCTCCACAAAATATGCAAACCTGAGAACTGTTTAATTTTCAAACGCTAAAACAGAAAGGTGGCTGATCTTATCAATAACGTGAAGAAGGCAATCTATCAGTATCCTGTTTGCTTTAAATTTCTCTCCCTCCAGCTGCATGTGTACATTGAGAACAGAATAGCTTGGTTATATGAAACCTCAAACAGACACACACCCATTGTGTTTCAGAAACAATGAAAAACAATCTCCCACAGTGGGAAGAGAGCACCATTTGTTTGTGTGTACTCATAGCATGCATTCCACATTAAGGACAAGATGGGGAGGAGTGCAAGGAGTGCGAAAGGGGGGTTTATGCCCCTTTTGGTTTTATGCCACCTCATTTAAAATATGAGAGGATCATTTCCTACAGCTTTTAACCATGTCTTCTCAGTGCTTCCCCCTTTCTATCAGCAGATGTTGTTTTATCACATTATTTTGTGGGCTTAGAATGTGCTAGTAGCATCTGTTTTCAATTTTGTGGCCATGAGATTACTTAAAGCACTGAACTTATTCTTCAGCTTTGACCTATTTCTTAGTACCTTCATTGTCATTTCTGGCTGGAAGGAAGGAAGGAAGGAAGGAAGGAACTAACTATTGACTCATTGTGTCCATCAACACAGTTGCCTAAATATATTGCAGAACTGATATGACTTTACTGGTCACTGTACTGGGATGATCTGTTCAGCGCTCAGAACTTCTTCAAAAAAAGAGAGTAAGAGCTGGATTGCTGCCATGATTTTTCATATTTGGATGCATTCAATGAACATAATTTTAATATTAAATTCCCATGTGAATGGTAAAAAAGAGATGATGGACACATTGCATTTACTCTACAATTTGTTTTCATTGTCAGACGCATAATCTTCTCCAGAGTGAGTGAGTGGAGGATGACTTGAGCCAGCTACTGAAATTCTGCTTAAATGACATGATATCTTGCCTCCACTTGTTTCACATTTGCAGTCACATTTTTCAAACATTTATTTATAAAGATATTTATTTGTGTGTCTAGCCCCTGCAGCTGCAGAGTTATGTTTGGAAAATGTTTGTGGCATATGATGGGGCATTTTTGTCATTTTGTAAATCAAGTCCAGTAGGTGCGTGTGGGCATCTGTCCAGTATACTGTTAGCCGTTCCAACTAGCTTTTTTATTTTGCATGTTAATGATTTTATATTATTGTGCTTGTGAAATGAAATGAAATGAACAAACAGCACTGTCAATATGACAGTCACTTCATGATAAAGTCTAGTCTTTTCTCTCCCTTTTTGGTAGCCCTGCCCATTCTTGAGTACACGGCTGGCTGTGCTGATGCAGATTAGCAGATCGTTGCCTTTGCATGTGGTCAGGGCCAGTGCCTGTGCGCAGTGCTGCTCCTCATGACACACCTCCTCATCTACCTTGCGAGGCACATCTTGGACAGCTCTTTTGATGCCAGTGTACCTGTTGTCGTCATGTGTGACTTGTCCGTGGCTGGCTCGAGGTGTTGTTCTTTTGCGTTAATTTATTGTGTTCAATTTGGAGAAGCACTTGTGACCTGTCTTCTCAGGCACATCCATGTTATTTTGGCCTGGGATATTTGGCAAGACTCATGCAAGGCCTGAGCCTAAAGGAAAACAAATTAGAAATAGGTGAGAGGAGACAAGAACTAGCCTCATGAATAAGTTCAAAGAAAGAAAGGAAGAGGGCTGTGGAACACAGAGTCTTTCTTTAAAAGGTTAATTCCTAGGAGGAGTTCTAACTTAGAGCTCAAGCAACCATGACATTCAGAATTTGGAAGACGATCCACACAGCAATTGCTCAAGGCTTTCAATTAAATGACAGCAGCGTAGGCCGACTGATGGAAGGAATCCAACAGCTGAGTCTAATAGGGAAGCTGTGCAGCCGTCATAATGTGTAATTATTTGTGGATGTGCCAGAATATATCCAGGAGTCAGTGCCTTATCACAAAAGACAATTAGGCGATAAAATTGGATTAA